GGATGGGGCAGGGAAAGCAATGGTCAAAATGTCTCAAACACATGCAATCTGATGATCAAACAAATTCTTCATAAAATTACAGGTATGAAGTCTAAATTTATAATCAATCAATTGTTTTCAAAAGAATTGTAATGTAATGTATCAGAAACTGTGCAGACAAAAAAACCAAAAACATATATTAAGAAGACAACTTACAAACTCCAATGATTCAGTTTTTTTACAGACACTGAATGAGAAAAGTGGTGATTTTCTTGAGATTTGAAGGGGGGCAGAGAAGAAGGTAGAAAGAGGGAGACCATAACATCAAAATTACATACAGTAAATTCCATATGGACCCCCTCACATTTGAACTCATTACATGGACACCCCCTCTCATATCAAAAATCACACTGAGACCTAATAAATAGGCACCGTTAATGGAATTAACAAAAAGACCATTTCACCCTCCATTTAAGAGATTAAAAAAATTACCAAACACCATGTCCGGATCGTCCGGATCCATATCCATGATATGCCCAGACCCATTACCTAAAATCCATGACCAGTGTTGTTTATGGCATAAAGCAAACCGAAGCGAGCGCTTCATTGAAACAAAGCAAACTATATAAAAAATAAGCAAATATTTAAGTTTGATACTTTGATTACTCCAAAATATTCAAGTTTTAACTTTACAAATACAAAATATTTAAACGCAACCAAAATAATAAACATCTACATATTTTAAATAGACAAGATATTAAATATTAAGCATTATTACATTCTAAAAATAATTAATTGACATAATCACGTCGTCTAAATGTAAAGACGCTAGCCTTTTTTAGATAGCAAATGGTGTGTTTGACTCCCACCGTGATTGATTAATATCACCACTAAACAGAGCACTCACAAATTGATTAATCAAATAGAACAAATAACAAATTGATTAATCAATTTGATTAACCAAAGAAATTGATTAGCTAAAGCATTCACCACAAAACAAAACATTCAACATCATTTAATCATAACAAGACAAATTGTCATATCAATTACCCAGATGATTTTTTAATCGTATCCATGATTGAATAAAAATCTTTTTTTTGCCTTCCACTTCATAATTCAAAGCCTATGGTTTTTCAATCAAGTGGAAAAAAAATTAAATGAAAAGACGCTAGCCTTTATAGATAGAAAATGTGGGTTCACGTCCCACAGTGATTGATTAATATCAGCACTAAATAGAGCATTCATAAATTGGTTGATGTTAAAGAAGAAGAAAAAGGAGGACAAGGAGGAGAAAATAAAAAAAAAATTGCAGTCAGGCATTCTCTGTTCTCTCCTAGCTCGCTTCTTTGCTTCGTCGTCTAGGCTCGGTTTTCTTAGCCTCGTTTCGCCTGAGCTATTCAAGGCAATCAAGACTCACTTCGCTTCGCTTCTCTTCTCATTTTTCACAACCCTATCCATAACTACCCACTACTAGTCTCTCTCTCTCTCCTCCCTACCTATGATATAGACCCCCTCGTCACACACTCCCATCATCCATACCGTAGCCCCTAACATGCCACCCCCAACCACCACGGTCTCCTTCCCTCGCTCCTAATCGACCCTACACAACCCCTCCCCACCCCCTGCTGCCCTGCACACAAACACAGTCATAGCAATAGATGACACCGGTGGTACAACAACAAGACAGACAACACCACCGCCACACACCTCCATTGCCACCCAGTGCACACACTTCCTCCACCATTTTTCTCATCATTCAATAGCCACTAGCATCACACCTCCGCAACTGTTTTTCACCCAAAAATCAATTCCCTCAAAAATAAGTCATGGAGGCTCATGATTCTCATGTTTCTGACCTCAAATTAGCCACAACTACCGGTGTTATTTAAGGCGTAAAGCGAACCGAAGCGATCAAGACTCCTAAAGCCTAGGCGAGAAGCGAGAAGCGAGAAGCGAAATAAAACGCTTTACCAAAGCAAAGCGAAATAAAATGCTTTACCAAAGCGAAGCAAATAGTTACAAAAAAAAAGTAAATATTTTAGTTTAATTACTTCTAACATCTAAGTTTTAATTTTATATGTACTAAATATTTAAATGCAAGTAAAACCATAAACATTTAAATTAAAACAAACACTTATATGACAAAGAAAAACAGAAGCAGAATCAGAACTAGGGTGGACCAGAGAGGTGAAGAAACAAAAAAAAAGTAAGTTTAGATTATGAAGTCGTTCAGCTGTTTTTGTAAATCTATTTTTATGTATAGTCATGGGCTTGTACACATGTACTGAATCACATTTTATAACAGAGTTGTAAACAATTTCATATTGACTGGTGTTCAAGTTTAGATCATCAAAACAAAGAGTGACTATATGACAGAATAACAGAAGCAAAACAACACTATCAAAACAGCAGAAGCAAAATCAACAAAACAACAGAAACAGAAGCAGGAAAAAAAAACAGAAGTAGAATCAAAACACAAAAAACAGATGCATAATCAGAAAAAAAAAAAACATTAAAAAAAATTCTCAGCATCAAACAATCAACAGAAGCAGAAAAAAATAAAAGAACCAGAATAGAGAAGAACCAAGACTAGAAAAGAGAAGAACCAAAACCACAACCAAAAGAGAAAAGAAGAACCAGAGAAACAGGAGAGAAAAAAGATGCAGAAAAGAAGATTTAGAGAAGAGAAATAGAAGAGAGAAAACAAAGAGAAGGAGACTAACCTGTGTCTAACCAATCATCGTCGTCATATGTGTCTAGAAGCAGTTGTCGTGTCTGATAATTTGAGCAAAATTAGGGTTTGGGAGCTGTATTTATGGGATAAGACGATAATTCTGAGTATTGGCATCTTATAATTTTTTTTCCAATTGCCCAATCCAATGGTTCATAATAAAAATAAAACAATCCAAGACAATTTTACCTCGCATGACTAAGGTGCTCGCTTTCTCGCCTTTTGCTTAAACGCAAGGTGCTCACTTTTTTCGTTTTTTTCTCGCTTCAGTCACATTCACTTCGCCTGGGGCACTCTAAGGTGAAAGACTCTCGCTTCGCCTCGCTTCTCGCCTAGGCGAGTTTTTCAAAACACTGGCAACTACCATCGATATCTTCTTCTCATCCACCATTTCTAGCGTTTCAATAGAACACAATGCCCAAAAACATTAGTTGTAGCAAAAAGGTGCTAAGAGGGTGAGGGTTTTTGAGCTGGAGGTGTGGTAGGAGGAGGGGCTTTGTAGGGGTTAGAAGCAGGCAAGGGGGTGTGTGGTGGCAAGGAGGAGTACCATCGATATCTTCTTCTCATCCACCATTTCTAGCGTTTCAATAGAACACAATGCCTAAAAACATTAGTTGTAAGTTGTAACAAAAAGGTGCTAAGAGGGTGAGGGTTTTTGAGGTGGAGGTGTGGTAGGGGGAGGGGCTTTGTGGGGGTTGCAAGCAGGCAAGGGGGTGTGTGGTGGCAAGGAGGAGCGAGAGAAGAAGATTGGGTAGTGGTAGTGGTGGAGGTATTAGAGGGGAGTCACGATTTTTTCTCTTGGAATCCGAAGATAATTAATTAATTACATGGTGATTTGTAGATTGTCTGGAATTAAACAATGTTTCAATTTTAATTTATTTAACTTCATTAGTGGTTTGTATATTAGTAGGAATCTGTGCAAGGTCACATACTTGGTAAAAATAATCAAAGGAATCAACAAATTTATTATCAATTATTTTGAACTAAAATGGTTCAAAAAAATTTAGCAGTATGAGTAGGTTGCAGGCAAATCATTTTTTCGGATCTTATTTAAAATGTTATTCAAGAAAACTTTAAATTTAGCAATATAAGTGATTATCTGCTATCAGATCTGCACTGACTGCAACAAATCAAGAGATCAGTAATTACTTCATCCATTTAGAAGAAAATTCTACAGAATGAGAGCAAAGGGAGAGAGGGATGTTGTTGGGGGGGGGAAGGGGGGGAGGGATTCATTGATGGTTTATTTTCATTATAAATTTCTTGGTAGAACAGATAGCTGATTGACACTACACAATGGTCACAACCATTCTACTACGAAATAAAATAGTAAAAATGAAAGACAAAGCTTTTGTAGTGATAGTATAAAGCCCAGCCCAGCCCAGCCTAGTAAAATAACAGCAACTAAATTTCAGAAAATATGTTTGTATGTACATCTAACAGCACTTTCTTACATTGTTATATTCTTTTCAATTGACATTCCTTGACTGAAATTAGCTAACATCTCAGAGCATTTACAATTGTTCTTTGGTTAGGCAAGCATTAGCAAGTTTTAGAGGGTACAAAATAAAAACAAAAAATACTTGTTCCAATAGATTTGTGGAATTTACTCAGCTACCAACATCTTTAAAACTCAATAATAGCTCCAAAACCTTAACATGAAACAGGGCTATGATATTTCTATAAATAAAAAAATTTAAACCTCGACGCAACATAGAAACACAAGCAAGGGCAGAACCACATGGGGACCAGGGTGGGCACTTCCCCCCCCCACCAAAACCAAAAAAAATTTTTTTTGAAAATTTCAATAATGGTTCTAGTCTTTTCTTTTTCCAATAAATTAGTTGTCCACCAAACCTCTAAAATAAATATNACCCCCCAACCAAAACCAAAAAATTTTTTTTTTAAAAATTTCAATAATGGTTCTAGTCTTTTCTTTTTCCAATAAATTAGTTGTCCACCAAACCTCTAAAATAAATATTTTATTTTAGGATTAACTAAATCATATGTAACTATCCTGATCTATTTGTATATTGATGAAAAGACAGTATTTCTCTTTATTTAATACAATGTTGATTATATTTTAAGAACAATTTTTAATTTTCATTTACCATTTTTTTAGTAATAGTAATCTATAATCCAATAAAATACGATTATATGTAAAAGACAAAAGATTGTAACCCAAAAATATTTCAAGTTATTTCGAACAAGGAATCTCAATAAGATCGTTAATGATCTCCACTAAGTTTTGCAACCAAATGAAGAAAGATTTTAATACGGACTTGATTGTACACATTGATAGAAAATTAGTGAAAAATTAATTTATATTTAATTAATATACAAAATGTTAGAAATTTGAAAGAACAATATATTTTATTGAAATACTAGCGATAGCCCGTGACTAAAGTCACTGTTCACTGAATTATTACATTGTGCATGCATTAAAATATGTGTTGGAGTGTGTATATATATGTGCAGCTGTGTGTTGTGGAGTGTGTGTTGAGTTTTTGAAATTTGGGGGGAAAAGTGTGTGTTGAGTATGTGAAATTTGGGGAGAAAATATACCTCCATAAGTTCAAACTCTCATCTGTTTTATTATATAGATATAATTGGGTTACAATGTACTAGAAAAATTATTGGGTATTTTTATTCAGAATTTGTTTCTGCTAAATAAAAATTGAATTTACTAATTCACAATAATTTTGTCCTGAGTCTTGATTTTTTGTCATTCTTGAACTTAATTTTTTTGCATCAACTAGTGGATTGTTTTCAGTTATATTTTGCCCCCCTCATAGATATTTCTGGCTCCACCCCTGAACACAAGCACATGCACATATACATTGAAGTAAGATGCGAGTCATGTAAACTGTATATTACCAGCTACTAGGTAACAGGAGTTCACTCTCGACGCCTGGCCCGTCCATCATCATGCCGGTCACCATCATACCTTCTTCTCTCACTGGAACCAGAATCATCATACTTAGCTCTCTTGGAGGAATCTAGTTGTCTATCCCTCTCATACCTTGTAGTACCACGCTCTTCTTCCATCTCCCTTCCATGCCTTCTTTGCTGATGCTCCCCATCTTTCTCATACTTTTTGTAAATCTCGTCTTCATCTCTTTTGTGTTTTCTCCCATGGTCACCTTCATCCCTACTTTGTCTTCTACCCCGTTCATGCTCCTCATAATTTTGATCATTTTTCCTACTTTTATGAGGCAAGTCACTCCCAATCTGACTTTTGAGCCCCCGTTCAGAATTCTTATCCTCATGTCCTCTGTCAGATCTATCCAATTTTGTGTAGTCATGTCTCCTATGATCATCTTTATTCCTGTATGATCTACTGTTTCTCTCAGATTCAATATCCCTACTATGTTCTGCCTCTTTCCCAAAATTCCGACTTCTTGACTTTGCCTCTGGTTGCTCATCCTGGTTTCCATTGTCAGCCTTCCTCTTTCCCTTCATCATCTCTCGACTTAAATCAGCAGATCCATCCATTACATATCTCCTTGATTGGGACAGCTCCTCTAATTGCCTGAATGTGTCTGACGAATCATCCACATTGTGATGACCACGTTTTTCTCTCCTCCTATCATCAGTTCCAACAGCATTAGCTTTGTCCTCTAGACCAGTACCACCTCTGCCACTCAAATCATCTCTACCACCACTTCGCTTCTTTTCTAGAGGCTTCCTCCTAGCAATTTTCTCACATCTGTCATCACTAGTGTCGCTGCCCGAATCATTCTCACTCTTCTCATGAGAATCGCCACTCTTAAAGTCATTGCCACCATCCTCATAGCAGTCATTCCGTCTGCTTTTCTGAATCTTCTTTATTTTTCCATCATAGTCACCATTAGACTTGTCTTTCTCAGTGTTATTATACCTTCTCCCACTCTTTTCCACACTCGCTTTTTTGTGTTTTGCTGCTTTTTCAGAATCAGAGTCACTTTCCACACCATACCGTCCAGCTTCCCATCTATCACTGCTGATTCTCCTATGATCTTTTGAACTGAAATAACCTTTCTCTGGCCTGTAATTTACACTTGGCTGATACCTCTTTCTCTCTAACTGTTTTTTTTTACATTCCTCCCCACTGTCAGCATCAGATTCATCATCAGAATCACTTCGCTTGCTCCTTTTGGAAAGTTGATTCACCCTTTGACTGCTACGTTTAGGGCTTTCATCCAAACTAGAGTCAGTATCATCCGATTCATGCCGCTTGCTCTTTTTGGAGCGTTGATGCACCCTTTGAGAATTACGTTTAAGGCTTTCATCAGAACTAGAGTCATCATCATCTGAATCATGCCTCTTATGAGCTCTTTCATATTTCTGATCATAATCAGACTCAGAATCATCACTGTCATGCCTACTTTTCTTGTGTTTCCTTGATGATTTTTGCATCGTCTTCCTAACATCAATATCAAAATCAGAATCAGAGTCAGTATACTTCCCTCTACCATTTTTCCTATCCTTCTTAGGCCTTCCCAAACTTTTTCCACCGCTATCAGTGTCAGAAGAATCTCCATCTTTTCTCCTTTTGCTTTCTTTTTTCATCTGCTCATCTCTTACATTTGCATTCTTATTTTTTACACCCTTTTTTATATCATCTTTTTTCTCTCCAGTGTCTTTCTCATGCCCCTTGACATCATCACTACCACCATTTTTCCTGCTATTTCTTGGTCTATCATCATCAAAATCCTCTTCAACAGAATCAGCCTGCTTCTTTTTATCATCACTTTCAACCCCTATTCCAAGTGCAGCTTTTAAAGTTTCCATCTGCTTCTCCTTCCTGGCAGCAATCTGGTGGGTCTGCGTATCCGAATATCTGAGAAACCCAACCAAATAATAGTTTGCATCAATGTTTCAAAATGACACATAGAAAATGCACGACATTTATCAAGTATATCAGATTTGGAACACATGCACCAAAAGAGTAAAAAATAGATTATCACCATAAAGCTGAAAGAATATTGCAGAACAATAATAAAACAAATGTTGTGGAAAGATTAAAAAGGTGAAAGAATCTGCTGAAACGAAAAGCCTAATTTCCGTCTCAATAAATATAGGTCATTTTGTTCAACATGGCAATCTCAATGGCATACCAACTAGATATGAGTTTACTAATGCAAAGCATAAATAAATCATTGTTACTGCACAACAAAAAGATTAAGAGCTCAAGAGCTTGCTTTGGAAAGAAAGGGTAACCAGGGCAGGGGGAAAAGCATGATCTCCCTCGAATCAATCCCTACTCTGAAAAAAATTTATGCCTCCACAACAAAGCCATCTAGGAATACAAAAGTGGACCAGACCACCTAACCTTGTAACCGAAAGCTCATGCAATTTAACCTTTAACCAATTGTGGCCACTAAGGCCCTAACACTATACAAATGCCAAAAATCCTTGAATTTTCAAACTACAACTATATCACTTATCCACAGTACCATCTCGGCTGCTGGGGAGATGGAACTCATCATCTTTAATCTTCTTTGATACAATAGAACAGATATATTATGTAATATCAAAACTGCAATGCCATATTCAAACCAAACAATCCTATATAGAATTATTTACCAAAACAAATATACCCAAATAAACGGGGAAAACGAAATTTACTTCTTGTCAGATATGACAATTGTGGTGGGGCCACCAGCCTCCTCCGAGAGTGAGGCGGCCTCGAGAGTCCTCCGAGCCTCATCGAGCTTCTCGGCAATCTCAGCATCAGTGAAACCTTGATCAATTAACTTGTCTTCAAGGACGACAAGCTTGAGCTGGATCTGGCGTTTCCGATCGTGCTCAAGAATTTCCTTGTTGGGCTTCTTGGTGAGCCCGGCCGTGCCCTGACCGGACTCAAAACCCTTGTTGTCGACGATGACCTTGCCGGTCTTGGGTCTCACGAAGAACTTGTTTGCTTGGACGTACCCGTTCGTTCCCGAGCCACGGGCTGTTTGTAATCCGATTCCATTGTACATTTTTGCTGCTAAATCGAAAATAAAAGAAGTACTTGATGAAAATTTGCTGGAAAAAAAAACCCTAGTTTGATTGAACAATAGGGGAAATTGAAACACTAGTTATGGTTAATTTTGGGAGAGGGGGGGGGGGGGGGG